AGAGGGGCTTCGTGAGATTAGAGAACCTTTGTTGCTAACACTGGTTTAGAAACAATTGGAAAGGTGCCTCTGTTCCTGGCTGGTTACAAAGTAGATGTTGTTGCTCAGATATGTAAGCGATGCCTTGGAACAGCAAGTTTTAGCACGTAAATAGTGGCATTAAGTAGCCTTGTAGCTCCTGCATGCTCCCTTATTGTCTTGCCTTTGCTTGGGGGCCCTTTTGCTTGTGAAGTCAGACCGAGGTATTTATTTTATTTTCTCTTTCTTTCTCAAGCACAGCCAGGGTATTATTATGAGAACACCCAGATGCCATTCTGTTGTCCAAAATAAGCTTAAATTTGTTGGTGAACTGACCCTTACTTATGTCAGAGCCTCATACAGCAAGAAGCTTATTGAGAAAGGAATGGCTCTTTTTGTTGTTGTTGTTAGTGTTGTGAAACTATCCAGAATTGTTCTCTCGGTGTTTTGTGACTGAATGTATAAAATTGTTTGTTTGCCTCACGGGGTGCCGGTGGCCCCAGCGCTGTTTCCTGCTCTGTGGCAGCCAGTGTTGTTTGATGATTTCACTGGAATAGAGAGGGGAGGCCTCGAGTAGGTCAGAAAATGGGCAGGCTTAGTACATGTAAGACCTTCGGTGGTAGCCACAACAGAGGCTGGGGTGCGGAAGGCAGCAGTGAGAGCTGTTAGCCACATCCATGCATTTGAGCAAAGCGCAGTCTGCCCTTGCCTCCCCACCCCTTCCTCTCCTCTCAGGTTTTCTGAGGTAGGGAAAGTAGGGAAAACGACTCTTCCTAATGCTAAATGGTATCTGCTCCTCTTCAGCTCGCCCCTTCCTTGCCTGCAGCCTGAGAAGAAGAGGGCTGTTGGACCTTCTAGGAAAAAAATTGTAGGGGTAGGAAGAGAGGGAAGGAGGGGCCTCAGGTTTGCTCTTGCTAGGTTGCAAAGGGCAGGCCTTTGGGTGAGCAACTGAGAGAGGAGATGCGATGTAAGAGCAAAGAACTTGTAATGAAACTCAAGGGCCAAAATTGTCGTGATTGTAAAAGAAATACTGAGATGATTAACCTGATTTTTTTTATTTTTATTTTTTGTAATTGTTTGTTGAGGTGGGTGTTAACTGCCATCTGTCAGTTAATAGCAGCGAAATGAAAGCAGCCTGCTCCTTACAGGCCCTTTGTGCTTCTTGCTTGGTTGTGAATTTACCTTAGTCTCCAGGAAGAGTGGGAAAATCATATGATGGGGAAGGAGAAGAGACAAGTAGGGGATGAAATGAGGCCACGTTCAGCCACTGTTCTAATGCAGTGCCTTCTGCTCCGAAACCTGTGATCCTTCACATCAGCTCTGGTGTGTCAGTGCTTCAGAGCAGTCAGTGGGTGGATGGCCCTCTGAGCAGGCCATGCAGAGAGGTGGTGCTGTGTTCGTGTCTCTCTTTCATCATTTGGAAAGGAAGGGAGGAGCATGCTGACAGCTTACGTGAGGTAATTTCTGCATGGAAGTATATAGCATTAGCATATACAAGTGAAGGGAGCGTGTCTCTTTCACTGTTCTCAAAATAATTGTCCCCAAGGGTATAGTAAACTTGATCTTGAGACAGCAGGTTATGATAAAGAGGCCCACTGAGTCTGAGTGCAGTGAAGCTGTCTTTGCAGAGACAGCATGGACCTTCTGGGTGTTGAACCACCCATGTTCCAACCAAGCAACTGGGCACGCCTATGAAACTGTTGGAGAGAGAAGCAATCACTTGGAATGCAACTCAGACTTCTCAAATACTTTCTTGCAACAGGTACTTCCTGAATTTGATGATCCTTCTCTTTCCTCTTCCAGCTCTCTTCCCTTGTACCATTAAGCTCTTAAAGTACAATGGCTTATTAGGGAGTGGGCCAAGGGTGATCCCCAGCTAACGGGGTTGTGTGCAGAGGAGAGGAGCTCAGGGGGGGTTTGTAATGGGTGTTGGGCCCGAGAAGGATGCCTACCAAGAGAGTGTGGGTAGAAACTTTGCTGCTGGAACTGTTTCTGTTTGCTGTGGGACAGGCTGCAAACCCTTCAGGGGTTCTTCTGAAACACACCCTGGTGATGTCTGAGAGCACCAATTGGATGTTGAAGGGGAGAGCTTGTAAGAGTGTTCAGAACCTCTATCAGCTTATCTCATTACTGGGATAGCAGTTTTGACTGGGAGGGGGATTTCAGAGGAAGTGGAAAGACTTGGTTTTATTTTATTTTTAACCAGAAAGCGTAGTGTCAGCACAAAGAAGCTCTTTGCAAGTCTGTCAAGACGTTAAGCAGCTTTTTTTTTTTTTGCTTTTAGTCTGAAGCATGTTTTGAAGCACTTTGAAAATGCAAAGCACTGGGAGTGCAAAGTACTCCTTGTCGTCTGCCTGAAAGTGGCATTTGAAAAACATTTTAAAAGCGTTTGAAAAGATGTATCTATTTCAGGTCGGTAGCTGTCCCTTGTTATTTTTCCAGAGTTCCCACCCAGCCCTTAGCTTCCCTCCCATGGCTGAGGGGAGAGTTTCCTCAGCCCTGCTGAGTGGAAGAGGCTAACCAAGGAGGGAGGGGAGGCTCACAGTGCCCTGTGTGCTGGCTTCCTCCCCACCACCTCCTTTATCTGAGATAAGGAAGAAGAGGAGGAAGTTCAGTTGCAGTGGTCCTAGTCTGGAACTGACTGCATCTTTTAGCTCTGGAGACATCTCTATATCTGGCCTGAAGAATTGCACCTTATGAGTCTGGTTGAGGAATGGGGAGGCACCTGTCCTCTTGCAGGTGGTGTGGAAAGGAGGGAAGGGTGAGCCAGAAGCTGTCTTCAGTAGATGCTGGATTTTTCTGGAGGCTGTTTCCTCACCTTATCTCCAACATAACAGCAACCAAATAACTGAATTCATCCAAATGAAGCTTTTATTCTGCATATCTAAAGAGCCTTTTGAGCAGGCTAAGATGAGAGGCTCTTCTTTCTTGCTTAGCATGCTCTACAGTCAGAGGAACCTTAGTTCTTTCCTGGGGTCTTTGGCTCCAACCTTCCCCTTAGCTTAGACACACCGTTTGGACTCTTTGCACACTGACTCATCTAATGTGATCTGCTTCCCTTCTGCTGGGGGGCAGAAGATGGGGTCTACTGGGAGAAGAGGGTCCCTGGTTCTTGTTCATGTCTCTTCAGCTGTTGTTTCTGTCAGCACGCTAGAGTATGAGAGTCTTTGCACACAGAAAGCTTTCTTTTGCACAGAATGAGCTTCTAGCTTTTGTACAGACTAATTGAATGTATTTGGGGGGGTTGGGAGGGAGGGAAAAGGCCGTAAACCAATTCCACATGAACCAATCAGAGTATCATGCCTTGTCTGAGCGAGCGTGAGTCGTAAGCAGAGGTTGTAATGGCAAAGGGAGGGCAGGCTCAAGTATAATTTGACACAAAGTGTGGTTTTATTTTTGTACTGATACGGATAAGAGACTGTACAGCATCTATTTATTTAGATGATTTATGTGGTAAATGTTGCAAACAAAATTATGAAAATATTAAATATGAGAACTGACATTTACCTAATGGTCTGTCTGTGTGGTTATTTACCTCCTTTTCCTTTAATTTAACGGCTGAATTGTTTCTCCTTAGTTGCTCCTGTTGGTATAAGCATGCAGCGTGGTTGGAAAAAGAATGAAAAAAGGCCCGTGCGTGAGAACGACCAGTAAAAAAAAAAAGAAGGTTTGTGAAGTACAGAGCGTGCAAAATGCTGTTTCTGGCATTACTCATTACTTCAATTCAAGGAGGTTAGGTTTTTATTAATTTTTAACCACTGGGTAAGTTAGAGCTATACAGGGGTGACCCAGGACAGCTGGTCTTTGATGGATCCGAGTTGGAGAAAGAGAGTGCTGCTCACGGGATGGCTGCTGCTCTGGGTTCATTAGATCTGCCAGCAGCAGCTGGAGGAGAGCACGGCCATCGCCTGCATCCCACATCTCCTGGGAACGGCACAGCTTGGGCTGCTGCTCGTATTGCTGACGGGGTGGCCTCGAGTTTGTTGGCCTGTGGGGCTTCCAGGGAGCTCTCCAAGAGCCCAGCAGCTCTCGGTTGGTGAGGTGGAGTTGGGCCCTGGATTTATTTCAGGTAGCTTGGAGTGAGGCAGTCGTGCTAGTCGGCTGGCTTTGCCCACATTAACAAAATGCATCCAGCCTGCCTGTGATGAGCTGGTGGGGCTGGGCCTGACCGCTGGCATGGGTGCAGGCCTGCAGCCAGCTGCTTGTTTTGCTGGCAGCAGCTTGGGAATCAGGTGAAGGAGTAAGAAGCTGCAGTGCAGCATTACGGGAAAGCCTGCTCCAGAGACTTCCTTCCTACCCCTGCCAGTGCTGCAGCGGCTGGCTGGCACTCTGTGCCCAGTGCTTGTCCTTCCACATGCGTGTGCTGGCTGGAGTAAAGGTTGATCTGGATAGCTTATTTTTTAAATAGTCTGTTGCTGTGCTGCCTCTCAGACCCATGCAGGGTAACCTGATGGGATGCCAGAGAGCAGGGCACGCTCCTCAAGGAAGTGGCTTTGGAAGGAGGGATGCTGGAAGCCTGGGGGTGCTGCCGCAACCTGGGCCTGCCTGTGGAACTCGTAGGAAAGCTCTGGGGATACCGTGGGTACCGCTTAGGCTGGAGGGGTGGTGCAGGCTATTGCTTGGCCCACGGCTGCTGCAGGAGGAGGCACATCTTGCAGCGTTCAGCCTTGCTGCTGGGCAGCCTCGCTGCAGAGGTGTCAGTGTCGAAATGCAGCGTCTGCTCGGGAACGCTCGCAGCCCGGCTCTCGGACGGGCGCTAAGTACATTGACGCCTTAGGCGTTAACGAACGCTTAAATGAGCCAATCTCCGAAGGCTGCGCGGACTTTTCCAGCCGAGCCCCGCTCCCGCTTTGCTGCGGCCCCTTTAAGGGCCTTCCTCCCCCTCTTCCCCCCCCCCCCCCCCGCACCATATTGAGGAAGGGGAGGGAATGGGGGGGGAGAGGGTCACGCGCGGGCGCGGGCGCGCGCGAGCCGGCGGGGGGGCGGGGCGGGGCGGGGCGCGCGGGATTATTATGGGCTGCGGGCGCCGCCGCCGAGGCGCACAAGATGGAGCTGTCTGCAGTGGGGGAGCGCGTCTTCGCCGCCGAGTCCATCATCAAGCGGCGCATCCGAAAGGTGCGGGGGGGCGGCCGGCCCGGCCCGGGGCGGGTTGGGGGTGGAGGGGGGGTGAAGTCCTCCCCTCAACCTCCCGTCTCACCCCCGCGTCTCCTCCGTGTGTTTTGCAGGGCCGCATCGAGTACCTGGTGAAATGGAAGGGCTGGGCCATCAAGTGAGTGCGGGGCGGCGGGTTGGGGGGGTGCGGGGAGCGGCGGGGAGGTGAGCTCCGCTCTGACCCGCGTCGCGGTGCCGCCCGGCAGGTACAGCACCTGGGAGCCCGAGGAGAACATCCTGGACTCCCGCCTCATCGCCGCCTTCGAGCAGAAGTGAGTGAGCGAGCGAGCGGGCGGTGGGGGGCTGCGGGAAGGGCCCCCCCGGGACGGCCGTAACCCTTGGCTTTGCCTCCCCGCAGGGAGCGCGAGCGGGAGCTGTACGGGCCCAAGAAGAGAGGACCGAAGCCCAAAACTTTTCTGCTGAAGGTAACTCTTATTTACATCTCTCTGGCCTAGCACGGCGCATCCAGCCCCTCGCCGTGCCCTCGGTGCTTGGCCTGAGCTGGGGGCGGCGGGGCCCCCTCACGGCCTCTCCCCTCGTGGCCCCTTCCCTTCCCTCGGCCCGCCGTTCCCCACACCCCGCTCGCTGTGTGAGCTCCCATCTGTGAGCTGCAGGCACTGGGGAAGGAGCGGTGGTTTGGTGCCCCAGTAGACCCCTCGCCGTCGTCCCAGCCTGCTTGCAGTGACTGTAGTGCCAGTGCAGCCCTGACCCCTCGATTTTACTCTTTTTTTTTTAAACTAAGAAATGTGTTATCTGGGGGGAGTGCTGTGGGTGTGTTAGCCCAAAAGCAGAGCTGCATGCTTTGCTCCCTTCTCCTTCCACGAGCATTGCGGTTCAGACAAACTCGGACAACGCACCTCAGTGTGACTGAGGCAGGTAAGGGAGATCATAGTTTCGATCCCATATGAAGCCCTGGAACATCTGTGCAGTGAGGTATCTCCATCACCAGCTCTGTCTGGGGCTCACAGCAAGTCCTCACCCCTCTGTGCATGTTTTCCCGGTGGGTTAATGCTCCCCTCTGCCTGGCAGCAGCAGGAGTTTCGCTCCAGTTAGCCTAGTGCTTGGACTGAGTAAGAGGGGTAGGATGTCGTCTCTGCTTCATGAAACAAATGGGGGAAAGGTAGGAATGGGCACATGCTGATGCCCTGAGCAAAACTCAGGGGACACGGTAATCCCCTGAAAGTCCCTCCTTCAGTATCCTCCGCCTGTTTTTCTGCTAACAGCTTTCTGCATCTGCAACCTGAAAGCTACAAACGCAACTGATGAGTGCCACCTCGTAATCTTTGTGCAGGGAAGCTGGGCTATGTGGTTTTTCTGGCAGTCATGCATTAAGTGAAACCCTGGTGTTTAGGTTTCCAACAATGCAAAGGAAAGCTGAAAGGGAAACCACCGCCTTAAAATAGTTCTCCACTTGAATTAAAAAGCGCTGGGATTTGTAACACCTGACATCGTTCAGCAGTAGGGAAGTGTTGTCTTTGTTTATTCTGTGCTTTTGACACTACTGTGTATAATCAGTTTCTTTTCTTTTGATTCTGAGTGGAGTGTGGAAAAATCTATCGCCAATTTTTCTTCTCATTCGCACAACAACAAAATCCATTACAAAAAAGAGAAAAAGCAAGAAAAAAACCAAACCTTGTTCCTCCTCTTCTCCCTTTGCTCTTTAAACCCCTCTAAACTTGGAACCTGAATTATTCAACAGCATCCTTTGAATCACATCCCTGACAAGTTCCTGCGGCACATCTTCCTTCTGCCAGCTTCTCAAACGTTACCCAAAACCTGTAGGTTTGTGCAGCTGGTGCAGTGCTCCGGGGAGGGTGGAGCTGTCATGAAGGTGCCCAGCTGAGGGAAGTGTAGATCAAGCAGAGCCCTGGTGCTCTCTTTCCAGAGTGGGGACAGAGCTGGTTCAACTGCTGGTGCTCCACTTGCTGCTTTTTGCTACTCCAGAACCTGCCCTAAAAATAACGCCCTGGGCCAGGCAGCAGGAGGTAACTCAATCTCCGCCAGCCCTATCTCAGCTTCTCTGAGCTCTGTTCAGGCAAATTGCAAGCAGCATGGCTGCCACCAGAATGGTTGAGACTAATGTGCATCTTGATCAACAATTCTGACCTGCTGAAGGTTGGCCTTTGCCAAGCCCGCAGCGCTGCTCTGCCTCATGCGTCGCTGACAGCGTTTTTGGTTCTCGGCTTCCAGTGAGAATTTCAGAAGCAGGGGAAGAAATTTGACTCTTGCATCCCAAAGGGAGTCTTTGAAGTTGGCAGTAAGAACAATATTCTTTTTGATCTGCTAGCTGAACAGATTAGGTCTGGTGAAATGACGTTGAAGTGGGAGCCTGGCCTAGGGCTGCCTTGGTGGCCTGCCTGCCCTTGGCTTGGTGGCTTGCTAGGATCTCCCATATGTGACAGGGCTTAAACTTGGGCTTCTGAGTCTCCAGTAAGGCATGGAAATAAGTGCTCCCACGTGCCACCGTTCCCTAGCCTGGGGGTGTTTCGATTTGCAGATGGGGATAGGTTTATCCAGGGATTAGCTGTCAAAAGCTGCAGATAGGCACCCGGGGGGATTTACAGAACGCATTCCAGCAGGTTAGAGGCCCGCACCTTTGGAAGAGCTTTGAAAAGCTACATCTTCAGCCACCTGCTGCCTTTGTGAACTAGGCTACTGTTGCTGAAAGCTGCCTAACACTTGCCCTTTCCATCAGGCTGCCGAGGGCAGTCACAGGCCGGGCGTTGTGATATCGCTATCAAGATGGCCGGCATTGCGAGAAACCCCTTCAAACCTCAGCTGCAGAATTTGGGGGCAGGAAATGGGACTTGATCCTCTGCATGCTAGGGGCAAACTTTCCCACAGCTGACTGAGCTCAGGCTTGGCGGGAGGCTGTCATTCTTGGGAGGCTCCTGGTATGCCGTAAGCTTTGTGCTGAGCACTCGGAACGGGCAGCGCTGCACACGAGGCTCTTGCTGCAGTGCTTAGATGTCTGCAGAAGGTTTCCTTGAGGACAGCTTGTGCAAGGTTAGAAAGCAATATCGACCTGTCATGTACACTGTAGTGATCTTCCTCTCTCCCTCTGCTTGGTTTGCTCTTTATGTTTTGCTTTTCCCTCGGCACTCCGCTGCGAGGAACGCAAAGCTCACCCACTAATCTAATAAAGTGTAGTGAGTGCTATTAAGAGACAGAGCCCAGTCTCCAGGCTCAGTGGGTGGCTAGCAAAGGCTCCTCCTCGGGATGGCTGCAGATACACGAAAGGAAAAAAAGGCTGGAGAAGGTTAATGGAGGGATAAGTAACAGAGCAGAGTGAGAGGGGACGTAGGGGCAGAGCAGCGTGTTGTTCTGTCACTTCGCCCTTCCTTGAACTCTGAAGCTGGAGTTGGGTTTCTTTTGATCTCCTCCCTGTTCGTAAATTATCCCCGGGCGGTTTGAAAACAGTCTGTTCCCCTTTGTGGCATTTTGTTCCCCTATCCAGTAGGGAAGCTGTAGTTTATGGCGGTGTTGCTCGGGAGAGCTGTGCTATGAACTGGCTTGCCGTTGCCTTGTCACTTGGAAGGCTGCAGAAGAAAAAGGGTAGTAAAAAGGCAGAATGGCAGCCAAAAAGGGGAAAGAAGAGCTGGTCGGAGCAAGGACTGTGGGAATGCAGGTGGAGAATAAAAGACAAAGCAGAACCAGTAATGTATGAGAGAGCGGCGCTACTATGGTGCAGCAGTGGTGCTGGAAATCACTTGATTCTGAAGTAATCAACTAGAAATCTGCTGCTTTGCAAGGTCTTTTATTCTTCTTTTTTAACCTCCCTTCCCCTTTCAGATTGCAAAGGTTTTGATACAAATCAGGTAAGCAAGCCTTCACAAAGCACGTGTCAGTGCATGTGCTTGTGTGCCTCAGTGCGTTCAGGGAATGAATGAACAAATATGCGTGCTGGGCCTCGAGGGACATTTATTCAGAAATAGTAGGGAACAAGGGAGATAATACTTGTTCCCAGAGGCAATGGGAAAGAGCTGCACAAGCTAAATAAAGGTGATACAGATCCCAAAAAGGGAGTGGGGGGAAGGGAAGCAGTTGCCTTGCTCCCGTGACAGAGCACTGCAGCAAGCCTCCAGAAGCTGCTCCTGATGTAGGCTGAGCTGTAAGCAGGCAGCGAATTACTTATGTACATGCTGAGTACTTCTTCGGTGGTGAGCAAATCCTGCGGGTGAGAACAGCAAAACCCCAAGAGGTAGCTTCCATTTGGAGAAGTTCTCAGCTGAGTAACTCGCTGGTGATGCAGCTGAAAGGATTAAACAGGTTTGGTTTTAAAGACTTTGTGCTCATGCAGCTCTTGAGCGTTTTAGTGTCGTGGGTCTGAAGCAGGGAGCTGCCAACCTGAATGCTGAGTCTTCTGCAACCCAAAGGTGCAAGTCGCTTAAAGTTGGAAGCCAGAGAAGGAAATGACTGAGCCCCGAAAACATGCTGTCCTCAGCAGGGAAGAGGCTCGAGTTTGTGTAGCTGATGCCTGAATAAACCTGATCCTGTAGTAAGAACACTGATCTTTGCAAGTGAGATGATGGTGGGGGCTGGTCTTAGATAGAGCATCTTGATACTATTTTTCTTGAAACCTTACCTGGAAAAACAAGCTGAAGGTAAGTTGTGTATCTGCATATTGTTCATTGAAACCGGCACTGAAGCTGGTCGCTGGGGACAGCACCTGGGGAGGGCCTGGCTCACCTCGCTGCTTAACAGCCTGGCCTCAGCAGTCCATGGTTGGTGTAGGCTGCTCAGAAAGTACCAAAACTGGAATTTAACGAATGCGGGGAGTAACTGGAAACACAGACACACAGACAAACAAAGGAGACCCGGTGGTTCTGGCGCACTGGGAAGGTCCCAGCCATGTGCGTTGGTCTGTGCTAGCTGCTCTATAAGCACCAAACAAAGACAAGTCTCTTAGTAAAAGCAAGACAGGGGCTGATTAATGAGCACAGGCAGAGAATGTGGAATCAGTGGGACTTCGGAAGTGGCTGAGCAGCAACTGTCCCAGCATTATCAATTTTTTTTTTCCTTTCAGTTGTTGGGAAACTCCACCAAGGAATTCAGGGTGTAGAAAGCAACTGTGGTTGTTGGTAACTGCTTCCTTTAAGCTGGAGGGCCAGGGCAGACAGAATCATATCGAACTATTAATTTTCTGTACTGTTCAGGGCACAGAGTGATGCGTGAGGCTGAGTGGCACAGGTGAAACTTTGGTCTGCATTTTCACATGTTACAGGGGACAGAGGCCTCTTGGTCACAGTCCTTTTTAAAGCCAGGATGTACACAGCACTGCAGGGAACAACCTGACGTTAGCCAGGGAGGAACAAAATGTCTTCACATCCCCGTTCTCTGCTTGTTCAGGGTCTTCTGTGACTCTTGCTGGGCCCTCGGTGGGAGTCGAGGGGCAAAGGGCTCTGAGCTCATTGTGTGAAAGGAAAGGGCGCCTGGGCCCCTCGCTCAGATCTGTTAGATTGCTGTCTTGACAAGAACATTTTTTTCACCAGGCGTTCCTTCGGTAGGAGGCACAGCCTGCAGGGTGACAAAGGAGATGGTGTTGGAGTACTTAAGCTCTCAGCTGGCAGGCAGCCATCCCGATCTTGGCTGGTGCGAGGGGGCAATCGGAGAGAGAAGTCGGGGAAGAAAAGCAGCTGTCTGTAGCACTGCAATTCTTGTTGTGCCCACGAGGTGGAGGAAGCTACTTGCTAGCTGGGTAATGATGGGAGAGGGGGTTCATCCCAGCTCCAGGTGTGGGCTACTTCTGCTTCCAAGAACCACTGAGAGGCATAGAGATGGGGTTTTGTTGGGGTGAGGAATGGTACGCGGGAGGCTGCATGAGGAGTGGGCTGTATGGTGTTCCAACGGACAAGGCAGTGCCTTGTTTGCACTGCAGGATAGGGATAGGCAACTTATTTGAAAACTCAGCTCCAGATCTCTGCGGTTCTTGCTCTTAGCTAAGACAGCTTTATGAGATCACCATCACCCACCTCCATGTTTCTCAAGACCCACATTCACCCTGTTTGGTGGAGCAGACAAGTCTTGTTGTGGGAGCTACCTGGATGTAGTTCTCTTTGCCTTCCTCTTGTCTCATGTTCATTTCCAGAGCATGCGGGGCAGCTCCCCTCCCTTGGGGCTAGTACTTAGTTTAGCATGCTAACTCAACAGTGGCCAAACAGTTAGTGCTGAGGATTACCAACTATTAGGAACCGTTGCTTGTAACATGGCTGGAGCCTGGCAGTTTTCTCTGCGGGGAAATACATGCCAACAGGGGAGTAATTAGCTGCACATAAAGAATCTGGATACCCTCCTTTGCTTGTACAGGGACTGTGCCACAGCTCCCAGCAATCCACGGTTGCAGACAGCACATACATTCCACCCCATCTCCCCATGCAGTCCTTAGCATGCTTGTTGCCACATGATGGTGGCATCTCTCTGCTGTCATCAGGCTGGGGATGAAACTGGGAGTTGGGTGCTGAAAGTGGGAGCTCACACTGTTGGAGCTGACACTGAGAGCATGCAGGGGGAGTGATGAGCTGGCTCATCCCTTCTGTGGAGCAGACTCATAGGGGCACGTTGACTCACCAGCGGATTGAGTAGGAGGATGGTGTGGACTCGTGCTCGTCATTTATGTAGATATAGATGTGATATGGCATTTCTCTTCAGCGTGAGGCAAGCAGTGTTCGACCTGGCGTTTGGCTGCACTTAGGCTACCTCTCTGACCCTGTTTTTGTCTCTCTCCCCACCACCGCAGGCTCGGGCCCAAGCGGAGGCCCTCCACATTGGGGATGTACACTTTTCTGTCAAGCCTGGTTCTAGCACCTCGTCTCCCAAGCTCCACTCCAGCGCTGCAGTGCACCGGCTCAAGAAAGACATCCGGAGATGCCATCGCATGTCCCGGCGTCCCCTGCCCCGTCCCGACCCCCAGAATGGTGGAAGCGTGGGAGGGGGGGCTGGCATCCGTCCCCCCGTCTCGCCCTTCTCGGAGACCGTCCGCATCATCAACCGTAAGGTGAAACCCCGTGAGCCCAAACGCAGCCGCATCATCCTCAACCTCAAAGTCATTGACAAAGGTGGGAAGCCAGCCAACGGGGCCGGGGCCCTGGCTCGACCCAAGATCCCTTCCCGAAACCGTGTCATCGGTAAGAGCAAAAAGTTCAGTGAGAGCGTCCTCCGCACTCAGATCCGCCACATGAAGTTCGGCGGCTTCTCGCTTTACAATAAGCCGTCTGCTGCGCCAGCCCCCTCTCTGGAGGGCAAGGGGGAGGCCGAAGGCTCCCAGGCGGCCTCCTGTGGGCTCATGATGGGCTCCACCCCGTACGATGCCCCCAGCTCCAGCTCCTCTGGCTGCCCGTCGCCCACGCCCCACTCCTCTTCTGACCCGGATGATTCTCCTCCGAAGCTGCTCCCCGAGACCCTCAGCCCGGCCATCCCCGACTGGCGCGAGTCAGAGGTCCTCGACCTCTCCATCCCACCTGAGTCAGCTGCCACCAGCAAGCGTTCTCCCCCTGGAGGCTGCAGCGGGGCGCAGACGCCCTCCTTGCCCCTTTCCTCTTCCGACCCAGAGCTGGAGGCCGGCGACTGGCGTCCCGAGATGTCCCCTTGCTCTAATGTGGTGGTCACGGATGTCACCAGCAACCTGCTCACGGTCACCATCAAGGAGTTCTGCAACGCGGAGGATTTTGAGAAGGTGGCGGCGGCGGGTGGTGGGGGAGGCGGCAGCAAGTGAGCCAGCCAGATCCCCCTGCTCCAGGGATGTGGGGGTTCTACCTGCGAGAAGTCGTGGTGTGAATGGCTGTCCTTGGTTCTCTCCTTCTCCCCTGCGCTGTCCCTCTGCCCTCACGGCCACCCTTCCTCCTCCCCCTCCTGCCCGATCCCTCTGGTGCAGAGGCCAGAGTGTTGCAGTGGGGGGAGTCAGGAGGCAGGGTGGGCCGTGGTTGTTTGTCCTTGAATGTGGTGGCGTCCAACTGGCAGTGGAGCCTTTGGGGTGAGCGTGTTTCTGTGTGCCTGCGGGGTGGCAGGGGGGCTGCACCTCCACCCCTTCCCCTTCCATCTTTGAGTGAAGAGGAGCTCCAGACCCTCAAGAGGTGGGTGGAAGGAGAGCTGGAGCCTACACCCCTGAGCCTTCTCCCACAAGGTGCACACAGTCTCTTCCATTCCTGTATTTTTCTCCTGCCGTGACCTGGATCCTACTGTCCTTGCCTTCCTTGGCCCGTGGCCTGGATCTGCCATCTCTGTGCTGCAGTGACAGATCCAGATGTCCCGCAAGGAGGAGAGGGGTGTGAGGTGAAGTGTCATAGCTGCAAGGTGCTCATGACAAAGCTGGGGTGGCTGAGAGAGCCCCACACAGCAAACATCCCATGGTGGCTTCTCTGTTCCTGCAACTATCGGTGCTACCTTGGCAGTTGTATGGTCACTTTTGGGCAGCCTGGTGTCTCCTCTTCCCCTGCATCTTCCAGCGTGCTCAGCTTTGCAGGTGGAATGGGAGAGAAGGGGAGCCTGCCTCCAGCCAAACCTTCCTCCTGGCATTTCATCACTTGCACTTGTTGGGGGAGAGGGAATCAAATACCCCTCTCCTCCTCCAGCCCTTCTGTGGTGGGAGTGGGAGCACCCGTCCTTCAGTCTGGGAGGAGATGGTGGTCTCCTGCCTCCTCAGCAAGCTTCCCCTGGACCTTTTTGCTCCCTCAGAGGGAAGGATGGGTGCTAAGGTGGGTGGCGTGCTCTACCCACTCCCTCTCATCTCTCCTGCTCCCCTCTCTCTGTCTGGGATGTCTTGGAAGGAGTGTTCCCTTCTGTTTTTCCAGGATCTGAAATGGCCCCTTACAACTGCCATCAAAGGTGCTAACAAAAAATTACTCTCGCATCATAAGCACTCGTGCTGGCTCTCTCTGAGAGCACCTCTGGGTTGATACAGACATTCCTTCTCCTTGGCCCTTGCAAGTAGGAGCAAGCGAGATCACAGCTCTTTCCCTGATGCTCTTGTCATGCCCCTAACGAGCTCGCTCCTCTACCTGCCACTTCTGGCTTGCTTATCCTAAGCACCGTGGTGAGACGCCACTCCTTCCTCTCCCTTCTCCTCTACTTGCATGTGGTTGGGCGGTAGGGGCGAGGAAAAGGTGCTGATGGATCAACCCATGGGAGAGCCTCCCCTCTGGGATTGGGGCAGGGGGGTTTTACTTCTACGTCTGTGGTGCAGAGGTGGGAAAGGGTGGAGAGAATTCCCCACTCTGAGGCCTGCAGCTGTGCCCTGAGCGGGTGAACACGAGTGGAGCTGACCCTTTGGTGCTTCTGCGTGAGGGACAGGGTGCTGGCAGCTGCTCTGGCAGTGCTCCTGCCTGGAGCTGTCATTTTGTGGTCTGAGGGTAGCAGCGAGGCGGTCTGTGGGATAGAACTGGGGTGGCAGAAGGACCGACTGACCGCTGACTGTAATTAGAGCCTCTCTAATTGCAGCTCCTCAGTGGGTGCAGTGAATGCCTCGCTGCCTGCCCACAGGAATGCCTCGCAGTGGATGGGGTTTGTGTTGGGTTCAAAGGGGCTCCAGGTGCTGCGATCTCCACCCTTGGCACACCTCTTTGTTTCTCTTCCCTTGTTTTAAGAGCTCAGCAGGTGCTTTGGGGATGCGGCTGCATTCACAGCTGAAGTCAGGGGCAGGGAGAAAGAGACTTCCCTGATCCATTCACCCAAGCTAAGGCTTCCTATAACGTGTTGGACTCGTGTGCGTGTCTGTATTATTACCTGCCTGTATTCTTTGTGTTCTTACTTTTGCATCTTTCCTGTGCCTGGCACACCCAGGGTCCCTTATTTGAGCATAGCCTATCCACTGCTTCAAGGACGAGCAGTCCGTAGTTCTGGGGAAAAGCTCTTCCTTAGGGAATCAGCGAGGAGATGCTTCTCTTTTTTCCCCTCGTAAGCAACAACAACAAGAAACCACAACTATTTGGAGGCTACAGGATAAGAGGAGCTTTATGGGGTGGATGCAAACCGGCCTGTCACCTTAGGTTGTTCAGTTGCTGTTTGGTGTGTATGTGGTGATGTGTTTTGTTCTGTGATAATGAGGTTCTGAAACAAATCAGAGCGTTTAAGTGGGAGATAAAAGGGAACTTTAATAGGAAACTCTCGATGTGTTGTGGCCAAGGTGCGTTCGCTTGGCAGACTTCTTTTCTCCGGTGTCTCTTATATGGTGTTCTTTAGGGGCGGGGGGCAGGAACTGTGTAGTTGAAGGGGTTTTGCCTTTCTCCGGAGTGACAAGCAAAGGGGACCGTCTGAAGAGCACACGGTGGGTCGTGGTAGGGGTGCTGTCGTGGTGGGGAAGCTCGTGCGGTACATGCTCTTTGCGGAGGAGGAAAGGAGTGCCATCCAGCTTGCAGACACAGCTCAACCGCCTGCGCGACGCATCACTCCCCGGTTGCGTCGCCAGGTGGGAATCAAACCCTGAACCTCTGGATCTGGAACACAGATCCCCTGCTGCTTCCAGGTAGAGGCTGCTATCTGGAAGTCTCCAAGTGCCCTCGGGTGGACGCGCCGCTTGGGGCCGGCCAACCGACCTTCGTATTCATGTGGGTTACGCTCTTCCTCCTCAGTTTTTGCCCTTGCTCTTTCATGGAGATGGGAAGGAAGATCCATCCGTTGCCCTTGGGAAAGGGCTTGAGGTTGAGGGGAGGAGTTCATTTGAAAGTATCCCCTTCCCTTCCCCGTACACCCTAGGAAAAAAAAAAAACAAAAACAGGGAGATATTCTCTGTGTCTGTGCCATGTTTGTTCTCTTGTCGTCGTGTTTTTAGAGGAGATTTTATGATGGAGTGGAAAAAGTGAAATGATTAGTTTTGCATAAAAAAAAGAGAAAAGCTTAAAAAAAAAAATTTCTACAGGGAGAGAGAGAGCGAGAGAGTTTAAAAATGAATAATAAATGCGGTGATTGCACAAACTGTAGCGGTATTAGGCGGTCCTTAGAGAAAAGAGTATTTTGTAGTATCGAAGCATGTGTGTCTGGGATGGTGTTTGGTTGCTTGAACCGGAGGGAAAGGCATTCTGGGACTGGCAGCGATCTCCGAGTGGAGAAGGCGAGTTGCGTGTTGGAGGAACCCCGTCTGTCTGCAGCCCCCTCTGCCCACCCCTCCCACGTGTTGGAGTTCCCTTCCCTCCCATTCCTCTCCTGTGAGCTAAGGTGGAGTCTCCAAATGGTTTTTCTGGCCGAGCAGCCCTCAGCAGTGGCCGCTCCTGGCCCACCACGTGGAAACAGTTGACTTTCTTTGCATGCACGGCAAGCTGCTAAGATTTGGGGTCAGCATGTACCTTTCCTGCCAGATCGCCGCCTTTTCTCCCTTCCCCTTGTCAGAGCAGGATGTAGCACGGCGGGCTCATCTGGGAAGAGGATGCACCTCCCCTCCGTGGGGTCTTTTTAAACTGAGGCAGGGGAGGTTTAGGTTAGATGTTAGGAGGAACTTTTTCACCCAGAGGGTGGTGATGCACTGGAACAGGCTGCCCAAGGAGGCTGTGGATGCCCCATCCCTGGAGGCATTCAAGGCCAGGCTGAATGTGGCTCTGGGCAGCCTGGTCTGCTGGTTGTCAACCCTGCACATAGCAGGGGGGTTGAAACCAGATGATCATTGTGATCCTTTTCAACCCAGGCCATTCTATGATTCTCCCAGTGTTGGGTAGGGAATGGCAGTTTTCTTGCAGGATTCACCACATCAGGACAGAGAACCCAGCCCCATCCGCCTGTCCCATCCCTGACTGTCACCCGTCTTCAGGGCAGGTGAAGGAGCACTCAGGCTCTGCTGAGGTTGAGATACACACCCTCTTCTCCAGGTTCTCTCTGGGGAGAGGAGGGCTCCAATGGGGTTTTGCGTGAGAGGACCACGTTCTTCCACTCCTGCTTCCTGGAGTTGTCCTAATATTGTCCTAACATTTCAAAGCAAGGAGGTGTACCATGGTGCACTTGTTTCCCCATGTGAGATGGTCGTGCGTTCATCTGGTGTGGGGAGAAGGCAGCCACCCAGCTCTCGGGGACACTAGGACAGATCTTCTCACCTGGACTTCTCTTGGCTTAGCAGCGGTAGGCAATGGGCAAACTGCTGCCTCCCACAGCCTGTGCTGTTCCTGGGGATTTTCTCTTCTCTCTGAGCTCTGTCAGTGCTTCCCACAGCTTTCGACTTGGACCCGCCACCTCCTGGCTCATTGCTCTTCTCGCTGAGCCCTGCGGGACCAGAGAGGTGTGCAGACAGAGATGCAAGCTCCTTCCAGCGTGGAAAACGAGCAGACTGTGGTGAGCCGCTGTTGCGTTTTCAGCAGAGAAAAGGGAGCATTTCTCCACGTCTCCCCTTTCTGAGATTCCCAGGGAGATTTATGAGATAATAATTGAAAGGCAAAATAGAACGCCACCAATCCTGCTCTTCACCAGGTAGGAGCTGTCTGTGAGCTGAGTCTTCCTAGGGATTCCACTCCCTTTCCCAGCCAGTCTCCACGAAAGGGGCTCCGGCAGCTCCTGGCGCTCGGAGGTGGCCGCATCCCAATCCCTCCTGGTGGGGATGAGAATGTCTTCCCTGGGCTCTGCCCTGCTGAGGGACACTGCCCCAGGTCCCCGCACTCCTGCCTGCTGTGGGGCAGCGTGGGAGCAGATCCTTCCCCCAGGGAGGTGTAACAAGCCTGGAGCGCGTGCCTGGCTACGTGCTGATTTTCCCCTTCCCCACCTTCCAACAAGACCTTTCCTTCCTTGCCTGGCGCATCCTTTTACTCCAGTGTCGCTTGCTTTTTGCTGCATCTTTCAATAGCCCAATAATCGTGCAAGAGCTGGGATCTTATTTACTTTTTTATATAGAAATCTATAAAAGAAATGCCCCCTTCCCTCTCCCTTACCCCCTTCTCCCCACCGCCCTCCTCTGCGCCGTGCTGCCGAGGGCTGGGTTTGGGGCTGGGCATTAGGAGCCGCAGAGCTCTGCTGGGGGACAGAGGAGGGCTGAGCATGGCTTTGGAAGTGCCCTTCTCCGTGCTTCCTGCCCTAGGTGGCTCCAGCAAGCATCTCGATGCTGTGGGTTTGAGCAAATAAGTGGCTTGATTTTTAATTTTTTTTTAATTATTGTTTTTTGTAAGGTCCGCCCCAGAGCACATGGTTTCTTTTTGGGAGGGACAGATGAGAGGAGACGCTGTCTCCATCCTTGCCTGCTCCTCCTTTGCTCATCCATCCGCCCCTCCATCCTCTGCTTTCCTTCTCACACAGGGTTCGGTCCCCATCTGTGCAGGGCTTGGGTTTCTCCCTTCCTGCAGCTTTCTCCTCCCAGCAGTGAGAGGTTCTGCCCCCAGCCCTTCCGGGAAGCACAGAGGCTCAGGCCATGCTTTTAAGCAGAACCCCTATTCCAGCATTGTTTTTCATTTGTTTTCTTTCTGCATAGATAGCCGCCCAGCGGTGACAAAGGACAGGGCCCTGCCTCATCCTTTTCTCCCTCTCGCCCTCCCCAGTGCCAAGCATAGGCTGAAACTCCACAGATTCTGAGCTGTGGCAGCACTGGAGCCCTTTTCCTCCTCATAGAGAAGGTCAGAGCTGCTCCCAGAGCGCTGGGGGCTCCAGTGCGGCCCATCCATCTCCTTACCTCCCTCACTCAGCATACAGAGTGAAGGCGGTCATTTTTTTTTTTTCGTTGTTGTTGTTTAATTTAAAACAAATATGTATCTTTTTTTTTTTTTTTTAATTATTATTTTGGAGGAAAAAGAAAAACATATAAAAATTGTGCACGGATGAATTGTATATCTATATATCTCTCTCTTTTTTTTTTTTGTCTTGCGGTTTTCATTTTTCAATAGAGCGTTTGCCTTTGTTGTTTTCTGTTCCATCCAGTTCCCAGCTGGCTAAACTCTGAGTGGAGGGGGGGGGACATAAGGGGGGGACGATGGGATCGCCCCTGCCCAGCTGCCCCCACACGGAAGCGGTTGGCTCCAGGTTTGGGGTGGGGGTTGTGCTGATGACTCTTGTATTCTCTTGTACATTTTGTTCTTTCTGCTGCTCTTGAATATTGTATCGATGCCAGAAATGGGGAGTTAAAAAAAATAATAAAAAAAAAAAATTAAAAAAAAAAAAATTAAAAAAAAAAAAGGAAAAAAAAAAGACACACACACACACAAAAAAAATAATAATAATAACCCCAATAAATTGT